ACACACACATATATATATATATATATATATATATATATATATATATATATATATATATATATATATATATATATATATTACTACAATTTCGTAAATATAATGTATATCATGTCGTCTTCTTCTTCTTCGAGTTTCAATCTGAAATTCAGCCAAAATCAAGTCTAATCTTCACCAAAATACCCTCAAAATTGAGATATAAACTCCGAACCATATTCTCAATTATTTGCATCAACACCAAATCCAAACAAATAATGATTTTGGAAAACCCAAATTTGAATTCAAAGCTTCAAAGCTTTTTAATGGCTGTCAATGGTGGAATTTCTCCTCTCTTTTGCTTTGCTTTAAATTACTGAAATTAGGGATTAAGAGATAGAGAGAGAGATGTAGAGAGAATTCCCAATTCTTTGCAACAACACCCAATTCAAACAAATAATATTTTTTGAAAACCGAAATTCGAATTCAAAGCTTCAAAGCTTTTTAATGGTTGTCAATGATGGAATCGCTGCTCTCTTGTGCAAGATACGTGGGGGAGAGGGGGTGGGATGTGGAGAGAGAAACATGGGGGGAGTGGAATATACGTTAGAGTGATTTTAGAACACTAATTATTATCATTAATTCCCTTAAAATGTACATAAATGGTAATTGGGTATATAAAATGTAATTATAGTAAAACTTGAATAGGGATGGTAATATAGTTTCCTATAAATGACCCAATTTCCATTCATTGATCCTTACAATGTGATTGCAAATCAAAATCATTATTTATCGATCAAACATATACACCAAAATTAGTTATCAAAAACTGAGAGGTTAACACCTAATTAGCATTAACTAGCTTCAATGATTGGTGGAATTAGTTGTTAAATCACCAGGATTCAAAGGATTGACACCTTTAACATTGCTAATTATAGGATCATATGAGCAAACAATATAAACACCCTTTTGATCATTGCAATAAACAAAGCCACTGCATCCAACTTTCTTGGTAGTTTTCCAAACCACATTCAAGTAATGCCCACATTCACATCCTTCCTTTTCAGGTTGGCATTTGCAAACATTATTTACCTCATCGAAAAACTTCTTTTCTGAGAATCATTTTTGCACTACACCAGTTGTAGGTGTCTCTTTGTATAGCTGCCAGAAGATGTTCTCTCCATAAGGCCCGGTTGAATGTTGCCTGTAAATGTAAATTTAGGAATGTAAAATATAGAGGCGGATCTAGGATGTATACTTTATGTGTTCAAATTCAGAATTACACCACGTTCTATCTAATTTAGTGAGTTCAAAATGTACTATTTGTACATATTTAATGTATTTTTTGATAGATATACAGGGTTTGAGACGAAAATATGGATTCAGATGAACCCATAGCTTCTATTCTAGAACACCCCCCCCCCCCCTCAAATGGGCGGATAAGGCTAAATCTAGGTACCTGACTCAAAACAGGATGAATTAAGAAGTGTGTTAAGTGCATTGTCTTGGCGTAACTGGTAAAGCTGCTGTCATGTGACCAGGAGGTCACGAATTCGAGGTCACGACTTTCTTGATCGCCTCGTAGGCATAGGATTTAAGTTACAAGCAGGTCATTCATGAAACTTATTTTAAATATTATTTGCTCACGAGCTATATTTTCTTTTTTACCTGTACTTACAATCCTGCTTACGTTGAGTAGCCCAATCAAGTGCAAAAGAGGCTAAATTAGCATCCTATTGCAAAGGAGGAACACCAACACTGCTTCTTTAATCATTGTGAGCCTTAAGGAATTCTTGTTGAACCCAATCAAAAGATATTGGTGCTGCTTCCGTTGAGGAAATGAAGATTAATAAGTTGAAAAACACCAAAAAAATTGGTGGTATTTGAGCCTTTGACATTGACATTGACATTTGCATTTCACAATGACAATGGCAGCAGCAATATTGGAAATGGTTCTCTTTCTCGTCCTAGAAAACTTGTTTTTGTTTGATTTAAATGTAAGGAGAGTAGCGTGAAGAAAGGAGCAAAGATGGTTAGAGATGAGAATTCGGTTAACACAACTTCTAAAGCAATTTGTATGGGTCAGAACCCGACCCCACGATAATTAACGAGGCTAATCCCGTTTCAAGCTAATTCATGATTAATTAGTGGTACGACCACTTAGAATTGACGATGTTCAACCCGCATCCGGCTCGATCGACAAGGCCATGGCCTATCCGCCACCATAAAGGCGAGATCCCAACGTGGTCACGGCCACTTATTGCTAGCTCACAAAGCCCACAGCTATAAATACTAAGAGTGGAAGCCCTAGAAAGGGGGCTGCTTCTTCACCACTATAGAGAGGAGAGAGAAGGAAAAAATATACCCATCTTATGGGAAGAGAAAACACCATTGTAAGGCGTCAACCTCTTCATGGAGAGGCAGACCAAACAAATATTATCAATAAAAGTTTCGAATGTTTCTCCCCCTAATTCTGAGCACCTTATTCTCGTTTCTTTCATTTAGTCCAACGGATTATTACGATTTGCTATGATTATCCCGTGATTATTTGTATTGTTTTACACTCACAAGATATGTAATAACTTTTGAGCAAACAATTTGGCGCCGTCTGTGGGGATTTCATAGCAAAATCGCGTAGTTCTTCCATGGACCAAAAGGAAAGAAACGCCGGAAAAAGAAGAGCAGCCCCGCATAAACAAGCCAAAGCGGCATATCAGGCCGACGGAACTCGAAGATCTCGAATCGGGATCCAGTTCCTCTGTTTCTCATCTATCGGATGGTGCAAACAAGAAGAAGAAGCCCCCCCCTCTCTTTTGGGGAGAATCTTCGTAAGAGATCTCCCACATCCCTGATAAGGGCTCCGGCCGGAAACCAGCACGGAGGAATCTCGAATCGAGAATCGCTTCGAGACAGCCTACATACCCTGGTTGGGAAGATAACGATTAAGCTGCTCAAGATCTCGAATCAAAACCGAGCTTCAGCTCCCAAAAACCCACGAACCAAGAAAGTTCAACAACAGTTGAACTGGAACTCAGGCTATGCGCCTTCGCCATTCAATCCAGGCTATGCGCCTTCACCAGAAAGTTTAACTACGGTTGAACCGGGACTCAGGCCATGAGCCTTCGCCATCAAAATCGACTAAGTTCAACAACAGTTGAACTGGAACTCAGGCTATGCGCCTTCGCCATTCAATCCAGGCTATGCGCCTTCACCAGAAAGTTCAACTACGGTTGAACCGGGACTCAGGCCATGAGCCTTCGCCATCAAAATCGACTAAGTTCAACAACAGTTGAACTGGAACTCAGGCTATGCGCCTTCGCCATTCAATCCAGGCTATGCGCCTTCACAAGAAAGTTCAACAACAGTTGAACCGGGACTCAGGCCATAAGCCTTCACCATCAAAATCGACTAAGTTCAACAACAGTTGAACTGGAACTCAGGCTATGCGCCTTCGCCATTCAATCCAGGCTATGCGCCTTCACCAGAAAGTTCAACTACGGTTGAACCGGGACTCAGGCCGTGAGCCTTCACCATCAAAATCGACTAAGTTCAACAACAGTTGAACCGGGACTCAGGCCATGAGCCTTCGCCATCAAAATCGACTAAGTTCAACAACAGTTGAACCGGAACTCAGGCTATGTGCCTTCGCCATTATATCAAGGCTATACGCCTTCGCCAAAAAGTTCAACTACGGTTGAACCAAGACGAGCTACGCGCCTTCACCAACAAGTTCAACCACGGTTGAACCAAGACAGGCTATGAGCCTTCGCCACCAAATTTAACAAAGTCCAACAACAGTCGAACTGGGACTCCGGCTGCGTGCCTTCACCAGTAAGTCCAGCCACGGTCGAACCTAGACTCAGGCTATGCGCCTTCGCTATTGAATCCAACGAGCTCGACCTCGCTCGAACTACAAGGATGGACGCCTTCGTCCTCAACTTTAGCAAGTTCAACCACAGTTGAACCGAGACTAAGGCAAACGCCTTCATCTGTGAAAGCAAAGCCCGACCTCCAACAAATAAAAGCGCAGGATAGGCACCCTCGCCATTCAAGTAAGTTCCCCCAACTCGAATTAAGATTCGGGCCACGTAAAGTTCGGCCCCGGTCAAACTATGAGGCCGCGTTTTTTACTATCACGACCGGTAGTTCGACCGCGCCCGAACTGGGACTAAGGCTAAGCGCCGCTATCGCCAAATAACGGCTAAGACTCGCCCACACCGAGTTGAAAAAGCAAGGCCATCAATTATATTATGTCTAAGGCCATCACCACCAATGGTCGACCTAGATTCGACTGCGGTGGGTAAACAGTTTGACGACAGTCGAAGTTGCCTTTATGGCTAAGGCCGCCAATTCCATCACGACTAAAGCCGTCGATCTAAATTCGACTAGGGCCGCCAACGCCGACAGTCAACAAAATAAGCACAAGGCAGGCAATGGAAAAGAAAATTTATATATTTACAAAGTCAATGACGGGTCATCCCCGCTTACACCTGGCCAAGGCCGATCAATACAAGAAATAAAAAAAACAAGAAACACCTAAACGCCAAACGGCGAACAAGACAAGAAAAAATACATAAACATCTTTTTACTTGGTGCCGTCTGCGCCACCGTCTGCACCAGCGTCAGCTTCTGGCGTCGCCGCATCAAAACCACAGTCGGCACGTGCCTCACGAGCCTTCTGACGCACCCCCTCGAAAACAACCTCGGTCACGACGCCAGCCTCCCATAAACTCTTATAGACATCACGTTGGGCCTCGGCAAAGACCTAAAGTTCTCGAGCCTAGCTAGAAGAAGCGGCTTGATCCCGTAGCCGCTGATTCTCTTCTTCTAAGGCTGTGATCCGGTCCGCCATGACCTGGGCGTCACCAATCCGCTCCTCGAGACTCGCTTCTCTAAAGGCTGCAGCATCCCTTTCCAATGCCCGTTGGGATTCGTGCACGCGGATAGCCTCCTCCAACGCCCCGGCCCTCGACGAAGCATCCCTTACTTGAAGCTTCAATGCCGCGACCTCACCCTCCAACGCGGTCACTTTCCCGCTCCATGCCGCAGCGGCCTCCGCCGCCTTGGCCTCGCCCCGGCGCTCGCACTCAGCTGCGACCCTCTTTACCGCTTCGAACTCCTCATCCTTTCGGCGGAGCTGCTCCTCGAGAGCACTCGTCCTGCCCAGTATTTGCTGCATCTGAAGCTCCCGCCTCGCCAGCTCTTTGACCAAGGCCCGGCTGCGAGGATCATTCCTCAAGCGCACGCGCAACTCTCGGCACTGGTCTCGGTAGCGGCGATACTTCTCCAGCGCCCGCAAAAATATCCCCGAGCGGACCTTGGCTCGACGGATGCTCTCCACCTCCAACAGATAAGACTGCAAAGCAAAGACAACGATTAGAATAAAAGAATAAACCTAAGGCAAAGAAGAAGCGAACCGACGTAACAGTACATACCCTCAAGCCCATCACGGCTACTTCATTCATCAGCCCGACATCCGTATCACCCCTTAACGATGCATTCTCGGCCTCCGAGCATAGCAGCTCGAACTGCGGCACCAAGCTTTCCCCTTGGAGCAATAAGTTCAATTCCGTGGGAACCTCGATAAAGCGAGATCGCCCCCCTGCACGCACCGCTGAATTGGTGGAGCCTTCCTGGAACATACGGACGTCGTCGGGATCCAAGTCGGATTCAGACTCATCCTCACCCCCTGCAGCATCTCCTCCCGCCACAGCCGCCGAAGGAGCACTGGCCTCACCCACACTAGCAGCCGCTGAGGAACTACCTCCCGTTTCAGCGACTGGAACCACCAATTGAGTTGCCGAAGCGACGGTATCATCACGGCCTAAGCCAACCGGGGCAACCCCCATTGTTTGTCCACCCTCGAGGGCAGGCACCGCAGCCGCACTCCTCTCCACGTCCGCCGGGGGGGAGTCCAAATTAATTACCACAGGAGGAGCCGGCGCGAACGCGACCCTACGCCTTATCAATGGCCTCTCCTCCTCCCCATCTGATGACGATTCCGCTCTAGGGCGCATAACCCTCGATGGCCCCTCATCCCGAAGACGGGTCCTTGACGGAGAAGAAACCGCTGAAGATTCAACTAAGGCCGCCCTAGGTATTGAGCGTGACACCGGCGCTGCAGTAAGCCGAGCAATTGCACCAGGCCGACGGAAGGCCAACTGAGGAGCCCTGACGCGGCGTGCCCTCCCTGATCACAGAAAAACAAAATTAAGTGTCGAAACAAAGCGGAACAGAAGAAGAAGTCATTTTTTCTTACCTGCCACAGGACTACGGCCATGCCTCTCCCAGAAAGACGCCCATGTGCGTATCCCCACTGTGTGGGGGAGCACGGCCTCCACCCATCCGCGAATCCCAGCTAACGGAGCCGGCGGCGATTTTTCGGCTACAAAATTGACACGAGTTAACGCTTACGAGCACAAGACGTAAGGAAAGGTAAAAAAAAGAGAGAGGATTCAATGGCTAAGAAACTTACGTGCGTGATTCCAAGCCACTGGGAATCCAGTAGAGCACGCCACTAAGTGTTCAGTCCTGATGTAGAAGAAGTGCTCGAAAGGGCGAGGCTCAACCTCATCATCTAGCTTCGCAGTCAGGCCCCTCGTCCCGCGAGGGCACGCTCGAATCATGGTACCCCGAACCCTCTGTGGGGCGTAGAGGCTAAGCACATGCTGCAGCGTAATCTCCCTACCAGCCAATTCTGCGTATTTAATGAGCATCGCTAACAACTTGTAAAGAGAAGGAGTAAGCTCACCCGGGCATGCCCCGTAATAACGGCAGAAATTGACCACCAACATTGGGAGCGGGAGCTTAAACCCTAACTTGAAGGGGTAGGCGTAAAAGACGCAGTATCCCCTACGGTCGGTGTGGACCCTCTCCTCGCTTCTAGCGAGAATGACGTCAGCATAGCCGGGAATGACCCCCTGTCCCCGCAGTCGAGACATCC